AAAAGCAAGATAACATTAATCGTATGAACGAAGGGACATCTCCTTACCTTGCAACCCCTCTTTCCCTTAGTAATCACGGCAGTGAGATAGGAATGAGTTAGGATAGGATAATATTGGGACATGGACTAGACCTTACCTTTCATGCCATTTGGCCCGGGCTGGCCTTGGGCACTTTTCCATCTCCGTTTCTTTTCTATTACATTTCTCTATTTGTTTCCACTTCCTTTTCAACGACTTTCCTCCCTTCTCTTTCCTTTCCATTCCCGTTTATTATTTTATATTTTAAGAAAGGGAAACAAAAACATGATCGGTTCCATTCCTTTGTGTTTCCATGTTCTTTGCACTTTCTTGCTATTTATTCCCATTTCTTTGCTTCTCTTTCCCTGTATTTCTATTCCTTTCCACTCCTTTCCACTCTTTTCCTTTCCACTCCTTTCCACTCTTTTCCATTCCCCTTCATTCTTTGCTAGAAGAAGTGCCCAGGGCCAGCCCGGGCCGAAAAAGTGCCCGTTTCGCAATTGTCAATGTAAATAATGGTGAAGCAGCAGGTGTCAATTTCGTTTCATTGAAATTCCTTTCATGTCCTTTGCGTTCCTTCCATATCCGGCTCAATCCTGTCCATCTTTCTTTCCACTCATTATCATTCCTTTCCATTCGTAGCTAGAAGTGCCCAAGACCAGCCCGGGCCGAAAAAGTGCTCCTTTCGCAATTGTCCACGTCAATAATTTTGAAGCGGCGTGGTTCCTTTCCATTTCTTTAAGATTCAGTTTCATGTCCTTTCCGTTCCATATTTTTTCATTCCTTTCCATATTTATTTTGATTAAACTTATATTCTATTCCTTTGCTTATATTTCCTTCCTACTTCCTCTCCTGTCCATTTCTGTGACTTTCTCTCCCTGTCTTGTCCATTCCTGTCCATTCCTGTCCATCCCTTCCTTTCCATTGCTTTCCATTGCTTTCCATTCCTAGCTAGAAGTGCAGTGCTCGTTTCGCAATGTCCACTCCTTTCTTTTTCACGTCCTTTCCATTTCTTTCCAATTCCTTGTCATGCCTTGTTTCCATTGCTATTTCTTATTATTGCATTTGCAATTGTGCTTCCATTAGCTTTCATGTGTTCCAAATATTGTTTGTTCCATGACGTTTCTATTTCGTGACTGTTTCCTTTTCATTTCGCTCCATTCCATGTCGGTTATTCTTTTCTACTAGATTGATTTTGTTACAAAGCGTGATGCTACGCTACTGGTGTATCTCGTAGATTAGGAAACGTTAACTATTATAAGCAACGCACAAAAGAAAACATGGAGATGTACACTTCTTGCATCGAAACAAAACAGAGGATGCGTTTGTGCTTCATTCACTAAATTGATCTCTTTCTTTTAAAGAGATCTCGTTTCTTACACGCCACGCACGCGCGCGCGCGCGCCACATTTGGTGCAATCTTCCCAACCACCACCACCACCCCCCCCAGAGGAAAAAAAACACAAAAAAAAACACCCACATACAAGCAGCCAAACTCCTTGCTTTCTTCTCACGCCAGGCTTCATTTGGCATAACATTTCTTGTTTGGCTTGGGCTTTTGGTTCTCTTAGGGCTGGGCTGGGGCGTTGAGGTGTTGAATGTCCGGGACCGCTAAGCCCCTTCCATGATTCTTTGCCCTGTCAGTGTCATGTGGCCTGTAATTTACAATGTGGCAGACTGCAATTGGCGAAAGTGTCACGGATTTGCGGAGACAGGCTGTGCCCACCAACGAGGGTAAGGGCAGTGGCCTTGGTACGTGATGCATGCTTCAGACGGCGCGCCGCGCGGTCGATTGAGGCAACACTAACTACAGCGAGTCCATGAAGGAGATCGTGCCCTTCAAGACAGCCCAGGACTGGTCCAGCACTATCACAAGGATCCTACTTCACACAGCTGTGTTTTTCTCCTCCATGCTGCTTGCAGGAGTTCTGGAGTATTTGGAATGGAGTCAAGCCCTGAGCTGCGAGATGGGCAGTTGCTGCATGTCTTTGAGGCAGATCCGCTTGATTGTTGTAGGTGCCACAGCCCAGCGAGCTCCTTGAGAACAAGCGCATCACTAGAGACAACGCGCCGCCGGCTTTGAGGGATGTCGTAAGATGACGCTTCGCATGCTCTCGATGCCAGGGGAGCTCTCAAACCGCGATCGATGCCATCATGATTTTCAAAGACGGGGCTTGAGCCACAGCTTCCTGCACGGCGCAGTCTCTTTCCGCATGGGCTTCATGTAAAACGCCCCCAGGTGAGACCAGAGTGGGAGGACCCGCTGAATGCGAGTGGCGGGCATTTTCAGGCAGGCTTTCTGGAGGGCAGACCGAACTGTCAGCCTCGAGATGCCGCCTCAAGCTTTCTCAGGTGCAGCTGAAGCCATCACTTGGCGGAGCTCAAATAGATGAGTACTGGAACAACATAGTTCTCGGCATAGCGGGCGTCTGAGCATGGATTCGGATGCCATGATGCTGTTGCTTGGTTGCAGTGCCTGGGCCTTGTCCCCCAGGTTGGTGGCACAATTGAGCCATACGACATTATCACAGGGGTGGCCCGCTCAGTGTGTGTGTGTGTGTGTGTCTGCAGAGTGTCCAGAGGGTTAGCAGCACTCTTGCAAGATGTTCTGTTAATTTGCTTGCCGTGCACGAGTTATGCATGCCTTTTGTGGGAATGGGGAGTGGTATGCGCGTCGCTGAAGTTTGAGAAGGTTGGCCCATAATGTGTCAAGAAGGCCATTGCAGTGCGCAAGCTAGCCGGCTACAGAACAGGAAGCTTCGAGTGGGGATGGTTGCTGGATGAAATGCAACGCGGCCTCAGCTTCTCTACTTGTCAATGGGCTAGTTTGCTTGCCAACAATTGCGCGTAAATGGCCCTTACTGGCACAGGCTCGCTTCACTAGTTCTCGGTGTTGCACAGAGCGGGCTTTGCCAAGGTCCGGCTAGTTGACAAGCTCGCGGGAGCAAAGGCAGGTCATTGCCGCTGAGCAGCTCCACTGTTTATCATATAGCGTTTTCAGTTGCACATGCAACTGAGATTGCCATGGCAATCTCCAGTGAATGTTTCATTTTGAGGGTTCAGACCGGCAAGCATTGCGTGACGTCTGGCAGGCTGCCGGAATTCTCAGGATCGAGCTGTGGTTCGCTAGGCGGGCGTCGTTGCAAAGCGCACGTTGAAGGCAGCGCCTTGTTCTTGAATTTGCTGCTTGTTACAGGTATGAAGATACGGCGGCCATGAATCAGTTAAGGAAGAACATGGCCAGAAGCTCGGATTCACTGATTTATGCTTCGTGGCTGATGCGTGATGCGGGTCCAGGAAAAAATCATGTTCCAAAAGCTGGACGGCTCTGCGGGAACGCCGGTGAAGATAGAATTGAAAGGCTGCCTGGTGGATTTGCGTGTCGTGCTTGTGCTTGTGCTGATTTGCATGCGCTGCGCCAGCTCATGGATCTGTTGGGAAGCACTGAGCGAGGCAATGTGTAGCGACAGCTCTTATTGGTATAGAAGTGTGTTCTCTCAATTTGCCTATACTTGGTCAGTGGTTGCTGATTGGCGGTTGTGCATGTAAGAGCCTGTCAGCCAAAGTTCATGTAATCAGGGTGATTGCAGAGACCCATTGGTCGCAAGACTGCAGAGCCCCGGGTCACTCCTATGAGTCAGTTTGCTGCATGCGTTCAATTTAAGAAAGGCTCTTGATCAGACTGCGCTCAGCTGTGGAAGCGCTTTGTTGGTTCCACCCACTACTGGCGAGCTCCGTCATGGCATGAATTGTGCCTGCTCAGTCCGTCTTAGGGCGCAATCCCAGCTGAGCACATCGCATGCGTAGGTCGCTTTTTGCCTGGCTGGAGAAGTGCATCTTTTGCCAAGCTTAGCCGTCTGGCAAGATTTTGCAGTTGCGCTGCTCGGCCATGGCAGTGCAGTTGTCCGTGGGTATGTTGATGTGACACGAACGGTTTTATGGCCACTGCTGCATGTTGCCGCTGACAGATGTGGCAGCGGCTTTGTCATTCAGCACATGACCTATGGGGCAACAGCACATGGCTTTTCCATATGGCAACCGCCAGCTGGCTGTGCAGGATTGTACATGTTCTCAAGCATACCTTGAGAAAGTTGACGTCATGACCATGCAATAAATGTTCTGCACAGATGCCTGCCACAGCTGATGCCACAGTGCTGGCCAGTAGTCAGGCTGGCTTTCACTGCAACGTTTCGTTTGCACATGCAGAATTTGCCAGCCACGTCAAAGACACAAGCAAGCGCTTGACCCGCTGGCTTTACCTGGTGCATCTTTGGCTCCGCAAAGGGCTTAACCCTGGCACATCGCCTCAAGACAAAGCAGTTTATGGTGCACCATACGGGCATGGGGCCTGCTTTGATTTGGGCGGACAGTGCTTAAGCACTATGGCCCGTCGGATCGACCAACAGCTCATGGCTGAGTCAGAATTACTTTGGCACGAGTTCTGGCGGAAACACGACAAAGGCAATGAGCAGTTTTAACGCAGCAGGACCCGAGGTAAAGCATAACGTATGTTGGACTTGATGGGGACAACTTAAGCGCATTGGACAAGCGACGGGGGCTCAGTGTTCCTCGTTGCACAGAGAGAAGCTGATGAGCATGGGTTGTGGATCATAGTTTTGGCTGTTATGTTTTTTGTTTTTCACATGTTTGCTTGCATTCTACAACCCTGCCGCAGCGAGCGTGGCATGGATTGCCCATCCTGCCCGATTGGTCTCTTATTGGACGACACGTGTCGGATTGATGTTCAGTTCGTTTAGTGCAGAATTCGAGTTGTTTAGATAAAACAGGGAAGCTGGTTCCCTTTTGCGTGCGCGATTGAGGAGGTTCGGCACATGGACTCAGTGTGAGGAGCGGTAGACATGTAGAGCGCGTGCCGGGAAGCAAGGAAATGCAAGAAAAGGGGCACTCGAGAAGAGCCGACTGACCAGCGACAGGAATGGTCGATTGCACGGTGAGCATCAAAGACTCCTTTGCTGCCGATCAGCCTCAAGTCTGGCTATATAAGTGGCATTCCCTTGCCGATGGGTTGTCTTGCCAGTGTCCAGCCTGGCATCCCCGAAAGTGCGGACTTCTTTAAGAAGTATGCGCTGGGCAAGAAAATTGGCGAGGGTGCCTTCGGACAAGTGCGCTTGGCGACGCACATAAATACGAAAGCAGTTTTTGCCGTGAAAATTGCAGATGTCCGAGAACGCGCTGTCAATGGAAAGGCGGCTGTTGTAGTGAGCAGCAGGCGCCAAGGCAGCGTTGAGCGCGAGATACGGGCGTGGCAAATGGCCAGTACAGGTTCAATTCCTGAAATAACACACCTGCTTGAACCCTTTTATTCAAGCGGATTCTACTACATGGTGTGCGAGCTTTGCAACAAGAATTTGATGCAGCATCTGCTCCACGTTAAGACGATCAGCGAGGAAGAGCTGGGTGATCTAACTGCCCAAATGCTCCGAGCCATTGGTCACGTGCACAAAGTAGGGTTGGTACACAGGGTGCCTTGGCAAGGTCTGGATACTGCCTATAGCACCGCACCAAAAACTATCTCTTGCAATGTCTCTTACATTGATTTTGTAGTTCTTTCTCTACAGCCATAGTGTGTTTGCGTGGCAGTTGCATCCAAGGACATCAAGCCGGAGAATTTCCTCTTCGGCGGCGACGTTCTAAAGCTCTGCGACTTTGGGCTGGCACTGCCGCAGCCCAAGAGGGGCAAGAAGCTGAAGGGGATCGGCGGCACAGCCCCGTACATGGCACCGGAGATTCTGGTGCAAGCCTCATGGCTCAGCGGGGGCTATGACAAGGAGATAGACATGTGGGCCGTAGGCGTCATCCTGTACCTTGTCCTGTTTGGACGTTTTCCGTATATGCCCCCCGGGGAGGCCACCGCCGATTCCATGAAATGGGCTATCAAGAACGACCAGCCGCCCTTGCAGTTTCCCGAGTCCCAAGCCTCGGCTGCATTGGGTATGGTGAGGCGGCTCTTGAAACGTCGGCCACAGGATCGAGCCACCGCAGAACAAGCACAGCTGGACCCATTTGTGGCGAAAGCCACGTCGAGTGAAGCAAGAGACTTGCGTGTCTCAGTCTTGCAGGCGAAGGACCCGGCTTTGAGATTGCTGCTTTCTTGAGAATCTGGAGTGACCTGGGTGCTGAAAAATTGGTTTTGGCCTCATGTTTCAACAGTCAGGGAATGCCGGACTTCAGTCGAACCTGAAAGCACAAGGATCAAGCTTCGAATTGTCGGGTTCCATGCTGCAGTTCAAGAACCCATGTGACTCCAGGAAGTCGCAGAGAGGCTCAAGGACTTCAAGGTGAGCCAAAGCACCCAGCAAGACCTGGAGTCCCGATTGACGCTTGTTTGCAATGGCAGGGCGGGCTGGCGCTCCAACGGTTCCTGCATTCCCCGCAAGGAAGATGGTCACGGCAAAAAGTGGCGGCATTTGGTTCTCGGAGGGTGACGAAGCCGTGGTAACACCGCAGCACTCCCTGACGAACTCTGTCGCCTCTCGAGTCCCTGGCTTACGCTGCCCTGCTGTTTCTTAAGGCAGATCCTGCTGCCTAATGTCAGAGCCAAGGCTGATGCAAGGATCAAGACGGACAAAAAGCCAGTGTCGCGAGACAAATTTGGCTGCTCAGCACAAGCATAGGAGTTTCTGCTTTTGCAGATGGGTGGATAGCTTTCCAATGGGCGCAGAGCATGTTTGTTAGTCCGGCCCAGCTTGGTAGCAAAGCTTAGTTCGTGTGCACGCTTGCGTAATCTGCGTTGCCGCAGTGACGGGCATTTGTGATATCAGTGGCAGCTACACCATTTTGGCACAGGTACTCACTCCGGAGTTGTAAGCGAGCAGAAGCAGGACTGACGTTGCATTCTCGCTGGCCGGCTTCCGCCAGCCCTTGACCAGGAATACCAGGACTTTCCAGCCAAGGCCGAGGCCATCGCCGAAGAACCTCACGATTTGTGACCGCGTCGGATTTTACAGTCGGCGCACGGTTCAAAGTCCGTGCCGCCTGGCTGATCTTTGCATGTTTCACCGAAGTTTCACACAAAGGAAGACGTTTTCTCAATGCAGAGTGCCTCGGAGCCATACCATCTACTGTTGCCACCCATAGCAAGTTACGGGTGCGCTTGTAAACGGCTCATCTAGTTTCTTTCATACATGTCTCATGAGCATCATCATCCCGGTTCTTTGTTTTGCATTGTTGGATGCTTGTGATCATTGGATGGTTTGGTGACTGGGATGCATTTGCCTGCAGTGTGGGCCTGCATGTCCACAAATAGTGGTGCGGAGGATTCTTGATTAGATCGTGCCGAAGCCTGGCCCTCGAAATGTCTGTGGTCGAACTCAGTATGCAGGGTACTGTGTCTCCATTCTATGCGTTTGAAGGAAGTGAGAAGGACATTTTGTGCTGAACTTGTTGGCTATTGCTTTGTGCTTCTTCTTTCCCACCCCACCAAGCCTAAGCCTCCTCGAATCCACTCAGACCCCAGACCAACAGCCTACACAATCTGGCCCGGCGTTTCTCTTGCTCTGCGTGCTTCATGTTGGACCTCGTAACGATTCGTATCTAAAGGGAAGCCACCGTACTTGAAACTCGACCCAGCTGACTCCACCAGTGTTCACTCGAAGGCAAGAACCCTTTTCTTATTGGAAAAAATACAGTGCGTGCGTAGTGGGCCAAAGCGGGTAGTCAGTCCAAGTTGCTTGCGGTCGGCATTTTGTTTGGCCTAGACTCCAGAAGAAGAACCCAGGCAAACCTCCAAGCAGAACGCAAGGATTATTATTTCGGTTGGAGCTCAGAATGGGGCCCCGAGTTTTTTTTTCTCCTTAGGTTTGGCGGGCTGGGTTGTTGAAGGGTCCCCAGTTGTGGTCGGTCGGTTGGTCAGTCGGTTGGTCGGTCGGTCGGTTGGTCGGTCGGTCGTTCGGTCGGTCGGTCGTCGGTGGGTGCTTCTTTGGCTTCCGCGGCTTTTTGCTGTGGCGTTTGGCGGTTGTTTGTTGTAGCTTTGCCTTCCCACATTCTCAGCTAGCATCACTTCCAGGGTGGTGTTTGCAACCCACCCCAAACCAGCACCCTAAACCGATCAACCAGCCTTAGCCCAAACCAGCACTAAAGCATCCTGAGCCAGCCAAAGCCTACCACACCCCCCAAACCCACCCCAAACCAGCGCCCTAAACGATCCCTCAACACCCACTACAGCCCGGCGTAAACCGCAAACAAATACCCACCCTAAACCCACGCTAAATCCGCACTGAAGAAGCCCTACAGAAACAACCCGGAACCAACCCTAGCCAAACGCAACCAAACCCTAAGCAAACCCTGAACCAATCCTAAGCCTACCCTTTTCCAAACCAGCGCACGAAACAATCCCTACCAACCTTAAACGCGCTCGAAACCAACCCTAAACCAATCCTAAACCACCATTAAACCAACTCAACCACCCCTAAACCTTAAACCCATCCTAAAGCTAACCCTAAACCACCCTAAGCCAACCCAAAACCAACCCTGAACCAGCCTTGAAGCCCAACCCCAACTCCAAACCCACTGTAAACCAGGGCTAAAACCGCCAAACATCAACCCCAGCAAGCCGTAACCAAACCCAAAACCACCCGAAACCAACCCTGAACCAACCCTGAGCCACACCACCCCAAGCCCACCTAAAACCAGCACCAACCCTGAACCAGGCCAAACCTAAAGGAACCCAAGCGCGACCCAAATCCACTCTGCGGCTTTTCTGGATCGGGACCGCCCGGCGAGCCTGGGAAAAAAGGCCGTGCCGAACCTGGGAGAAAAATAAACCCTTCCGCCCACAGAATGGTAAGCAAACGAGAAACATGTCACTGAGTGGAAGTTCCTGCGTTTGCTTTTGGGTTCCCCCCCGGTTTCTGCGCTCTGGGACAGAAGCTCCAAAAACAAAACGGGAGAAAGCGAAACACCAGAGAGCACGGAAAGCAAATGAGGCTCCAACCTCCCTTTGCGCCTACCTCTTGGGGTCTGTAATGTTGTTGTCTACCTGTCTGTTCGCAGAGCTTTGCCCTACATTCGTGAATGAATCTCCTTCTGGGATGGAGCTTCGGTGCTGCGAATTTTCGAGACGTGCCTGCGACGCTCTCCTTGCAAGTATTTCTTTGCATGATCTCCAAGTGAGTCCTTTGTGCAAGTTTCTCTGCGCGCAAGATCTAGGTACATGTTTCCCTGCGGTGGTGCTCTGCGCAAGTTTCTCTGCGGACAAGCTCTTGGTGCATGTTTCCCTGCGCGGGTGCTCTGTGCAAGTTTCTTTGCACCAGCTCTCTGTGCAAGTTCTGTTTGAGAGTCTTTGCGCTCATCAACCACGCCGGTCCCCGCAAAGGGCCGCGTGCGCGCCCCAGTTTTTGCACATTGACCACGCAATCCCCGCCAGAGGGTCGCGCGCAAACTGCAGAAAGTAGCGAAAGGTCTTGGTTCTTGCATGTTGCCCATGCCAACCCCCGCAGAGGGTCGCGTGCAAAGCAAAAAGCAAACACACTTGTGCAAATCACGACGCCGATCCCCGCAGAGGGCCGCCCTGTGAACCGCAGAAAGGATCAAACGTCTTATCGACAGATCCCCGCAGAGGGTGTAATTTTTGGACGGCGGGCTTGTCTCGCGCAGTGTTCTCGTGCGAGATTTGCTCGTACAAATATGCTCGTGCGAGTCTCCGAGTGCAAGTGTGCTTGTGCTAGCTTTTTCGTGCAACTTGCTGCGCATGTTCTCTTGTGCAACTTGCTCTGCGCGTTCTGTCGCGCAGCGTGCTCCGATGCTCTTGCTCTGCCCTTGCCCGTGCAGGCGTGCGAGCACGCTCGGGCAAATATGTATGCGTGTCTGCATGCTGTGCGCAATTGCGCTTATGAAAATGCGTTCGTGTAAGCGCATTCGTGTACGTGGCAAGTACACTCGTGCTCGTGGAAATGCGTTTGTGGAAGTGCACTCGTGCTCTTGCAAATGCATTTGTGCATGTGGGCTCGTGTAAATGCGCTGGCGCAGATGCATTTGCGCAAGTATGCTCGTGTGAATGTGTTTGTGTAGTGCGCTCGTATGTTTCACATGGGTTAATTAGGCATGTTCGTACAAATTAATTTGCAAAATGGTTGTATTTAAAGCATATGTGTGTGTTTTGATTTAAATAAATTATAAGAACACAAAGCGCAAACGTGTAGTAAATTGTTTTTTTGTTTTTTGAGATATAGAACACGAATATGAAGAGGTAAATATATCTTAAGTTGTTTTGTGTATTACTAACAAATAAACTGATCAAACTGCACACCACGGCTTCAACATGGCAAGGTTCTAAAGCTAATAAGCATCATGTACTGTAAGATATCTCAATGGGGTTTCGTACTAGGTAAACATTTTTGATTTTGCTCAAGACTATGATGTCAATGGTGGCTACTACGTTGCTTTTAAGGCCGGTGGAAGAAGCTTTTGGAGCGCTCTTGGAGAAGAATGAGACCCTCTTGGGGCGCAGACGTCTTCAGCGTGGGGTTTCGTTCGCCGTCTCCAGTTTTTTGTTCGCAATAAAGACTTGCTGGGGTAGATAAGGGATGACTGAAAGATGATGTTCTTTGCTGTTTTACATCTTTTTTTCGTTCAAGGAGGGGAAGTCGGGGCTCAAATTATAGACAGTTGCGAGGGTAAAACAATCAGTCCTTGACATTTAGCTGCCTCAAAGAGAGAACAATTTGCAGTTCCAGACAAGCGAGTTGCTCACCATTGTACAGACCACAACCCAAATCAAGAGGAAACAAACACACAGAGAACAGAAAAACAAACAACCGCAAAACGCGCAAAAAACAAACCAAAGAACAACAATCCCCAAAGAAGAGTTCATAAATGGTTCAAGCAGTTGTTTGATGAAAGGTCTGCAAAGATGGATCGCTTTGTGGATAGGCTCTAGTCCGTAAATTCAAAGATTTAAGTACATTGCCGGTATTGCCGAGACGGGTAGTTCAACCAAAAAGCCCATTGGTGTGTTGAGAAAGCTGTCAACTCAGATCAACCTGTGAAGGCTTCAAGATTGCTCACCCTTTGGACTGAGGTCGGCCAAGATGCCACCACAGAGGCAGATGAAGCTGCCAAAGTGGCTACTTGGTTGAAGCCAGAAGCGAGTCGAAGCGAGATACAAACTTTCCAGCTCAGCTGCAGGGGGTGCTTCGTTGTTTTTGTTGGTTTCAGCAGGTTTCAGATTTGTGTTGTGTTGTTTGGGTTTCAACCCATTTTTTGTTGTTGTTTCAGCTTTTGTTGTGGCCGGGTTGTGTGCTAGCGAGGGGTTTGTGGAACTTTGTAGACCTGGAAACCCGGCGAAGCTGGGCAACAGTGGTGATCGGTGCAACAAGATCATCTTCGGCGTAGCACGGGCTCTGATCATACCGTGAGTCAGTCTTTCTCCATTTCTTTGAAGAGAAGGCATGTCAGCAAACTAGACTAGGGCTTCAGTTTTTGTTTATTGCATGTGACAGGGCCTTGCAGTATAACATTCGGATTGCGCATGTGATAGACCACCGGCCTTTTCATGGACATCTTCCGGATCAGCCATGGTTCATTCAGTGGGCTTGTCGGTGTTCGTTGCGATGACGAGGCTGCTGAAATCTTCCAAAATGCCAAGAATCTGGCGCAGGCTTTGCTTGGATTAGCTTCTCCCGGTGATGCGACGGCCTCACAGCCCAAAGAGATCCAGGAATATTTGAAGTCCGTGGGTCATGGCGACTTCCCCTGGCAGTATCTTGAAGCATCAGGGGCCCGGGGTCTGGGCTTAGGCAGCAACCGGCGGAGATGTAGCCGGGCTGCTTTTCTAGCCTTAGCCTTGTACAAAGCTTCTGCAGAATGCCCAGACTACTTGGTGCCTGAAATCCTGAAAGGTCCTTTGTCCGTTCTCAGCACAGCAATTGACCTGGAAGCACCGAAAAGAACTGCTTGGGAGAAGCAGCTTGGGCCTCAGAATGGGCCTGTGGCGGACTTTCAGCAGATGTTTGAAGCAGCTTGGAATGCCTGTGTGGAGTGGCTAGAGGGTCACAAGTTGGATGATATGCCAGGCATTTTGGAATTGCATCATGTAGAGGCTCTCAAAAGAGCTGGGTGTGAAATTGGTCGCAAGAAAGCGCACAACATACTCATGGCTGCCAGAGGACTGATGATGACAGAGCTACAAACCTCCAGCGAAGACGTTCTCCAGAAGAGCCTGGCGGGCCGCCCCTGGCAAGCCATTGTCGCTGGCAGCGCGGATAAAATCAGAACCGAGCTGGTTGGACCTGGAATTAAGGACTTTCACCTTGAGATGCGGAGAAGGGAGCGTTGTCCTTATACTCGTGACCCGATGGCCGTATTTGTGGCTGTACATTCAGATGGTCAAAAAGTCATTCATCATCCTCATGCCCACAAGGATGAACCACTTCGCTTTGAAGATGAAGAAGGAACGACATTTCAACGTCCGCCAGACAAAGATGAGATTGTTAGAGCATTTCGCCTGGCTACAGCTTGGTCTGTGAAGAAGAGGTGGACAGCTTTTCAAACAGGCGTTTTTCAAGACATTTTGAAGCGCTTCAAGGAAACTGAGCGCTCAGAAGGCTTCTCCATCAGTGATTTCAAACCTGGAACTCGTGTTCAAGCATGGGAGCTCTCTCCCGAACTGAAGTTGGACTTCCTGAAGTTTTTGCAATGCGGCTGTGCCCGTTCCAGTCACTCGGAGCTCGTCAACGAGGATGAGGTCACTCCGATGGCCGCCTGCAGCAGCTCAGACCAAGATGCTGTCGGTTCTCATCCAGGCGCTTGGGAAAGTTGGGACAAAGATTCCTTCTGGAGGAATGGAAATTCTTGGTGGAATGATTCTTCTTGGCATGGATGGCAAAGTTCATCTTGGCATTCCTCTTCAGGCTCATTGCAGTGGACAGGATCATGGACAGGATCATGGAAACAGTCTGATGAGTCTTGGCAAGCGTCGGATGAGTGGGAAGAGGATGAGGACCTCAACAGCCTTCACAAGGAAGCATTGTCCAATTTGGGATTCACCAGCACGAGCGCTGAGGAGAACATAGAGAACATGCAGTCTGTGATGATCAACGAGTTTCTCCGAACCGAGTTTGAAGGATCAAGTCGTCTTCTGGCCGGTTTGGATCCTGCTCGTGATGAAACAGCCGTGCGTACCTATGCAAGCTTGATCCGCGAGATTGAAGTGTCGCAATTGCGCTACAGCCATGGCAATATCTCGAGGAAGTTTTTGCATGGTGAACACAGAGGCATGGACATCGAAAGCCTAACCCAGCAGCTGTACCATGGCGAGCTGCAGACCACAGAGGTGAAACCTTTAGTTGGGGTGAACTGGAAAGGTGCTGTGTGGGTGATATGTGGGAATCGTCGCTGTCATGCCATGAAGTTGTATGTTGAGTGGCTTGGACCGCGACGTCCCATGCCCAAAGCGAGGGTCATTCTGCACGATTTCCCTAGGCTTTCGGGAATTCAAGATGAACAAGTGCGATGGGCCTTCATGCTGAAAGCTGTCTCATCCATGAACACTCGAAGTGAAGGCCGTCACGTGCAGGTCCGCAGGAGATTTCGCTGAGATCACGGAGCGAGCTTGCGACAGAGAAAGAGAAAAAACCACGATTTCTCTATCTCTCTTTTTTTCTCTCTCCTTGGTATCGCTTTATCGCCCACAGGATGAGGGATAACTTGCTTAGGCACCTTTGGGGAGCCATTGCTTCCACCTCGGGCCTTTCCGCCAGCAATAACTCCTCTTGTCTTTCTCTTTCTTCCTTCTTTTTTTTTCTCTTCTTTCTTTCTCTACCTCTCTCTCTCTTTCTCTCTTTCTCTCTCTTTTTCTTTTTCCTCTTTCTTTCTTTATTTCTCTCTTTTTTTGTTTTTTCTTTTTTTTCTTTCCTTTCTCTATTTCTCTTTTTTGTTTTTTTCTTTACTTTGGTTTTTGCTTTCTTTTTTTTTTTACTTTTTTCTTTTGTTTTTATGTTTTTGTTTTTTGTTGTTGGTATTGTTATTGATGGAATTAACGTGTTTTTTGTAATTTATAATAAATATTACCCACCATAATTATATAGGTGGAATTGGATATAAATATTCGATATTTATAATAGAAATTATTTAGTATAATTTTATAGGGGGAATTGAATAATATTCGATATATATAATTGAAATTATTATTATAATTCTATATGGAAGGAATGGGAATAAACATTAATAACAGATTGGAATTATTGGAAATATATTCGAGGTTTGTAATAGAAATTATTCCCAAAATTTTATAGGGAAGGAATGGGATAGATATTGATAATTCATTAAATTCGAGGGAATTTTAAGATTATAGATATGGATTATATTTATAAGAATTATAATATTTGTTAATTATATATATTATTATTGTTAATTTTGGGTTATAATTATTTATACGAAAATATGAAATTATTTTATATATTTTGGTATTGTTTTTTAAATATATTTGGATGTATAATATTCTTGAATTTATTAGGAATATTTAATTTTTGAGGATATATATATATTTATCATAAATTATTTATTTGTTTAATTTGATTTAAATATTATATATAATATGGTTTTAGAAATATAAAATGATTATTAATATATATAATATATATATAATAATTAAAAAATTAAAAGAATATACTTAAACTAGAATTCCATATATATAATTATTAATTTATCGATTAATTTATATTAAATAATAATTATAATAAAATTTAGAATAAATTAAATTATATAAAAATTATTAAATTAAATATAATAATTAAATTTAAACGAATTTATTATATATTTATAATATAAATATGTAAATTAAATTATAATAATATTTTTTTATTTATTTATGAATATAAATTATAAAATATATTATTTGATTTTATAAAATATTTATAATATAGTATATTCTATTTATTTTTTTAAACAATAAATATAATATATTTTTATAATATATATTTAAGATATGTTTTTTTTTTGAGGATATGAGTCGGGAGATAAAATCTCGCCCACCCACCTTAGCGCCACTTTAGGCACGGAGATTATATTATTTCGTTCCGAAAACGAGGCCTAAACCAAACACACGAAAAAACGGCCGACAATCTCGATCCATTCATTATCCTTGGAGTGCACCTCTAAAATCACCTGTATATTCACATACTAAGTAATGATTTCTCTGCAATTTAAATGAGATTTTGATTTTAAATTGGGTCTATGTAGCCCTAAAACACAAAACATATTTTTTATCCACTATGCGAACAAAGGATTAGTTTCCCTCGGCATCCAATATATCCGTGCTTTCCGAAATTAGAGGCTCGTAACCAATATTTTGAGCCATATATCGATTCCGCAAATCATGATGAGTACGTTTATGTTTGGCATATTGATATATTGCTTGCAAATAATTCCTACGCCGACACTCCCAAAATACGAGATTGGAAAGGAGATGTATTCGCTACATCTAGGGCCAACCGCGGAAAACGACGCTGGAAAACGACACCAAGAAGATTGAGATTTATGGGACTCCCATCACCAGAACATCCGTAGGTCGTGCGCCAGCCTGCAAGGCTAAAACAAACACAGCGTTCTTCAAAATGATGTATGACTATGTAATGGAAAATATGGTGTCCTAAAACATCTAAATTTTGGTGGCAAAAAGAACATATATACATCACCCTATTCAAATTATGGAACTCCCAGCCGCATAAAAACAATATCTCGAAATGTAGCGTTGGTGAGCAACAAATCTTGAGCCAGAGCGGGGCGTGCTCGAAGCCAACCATCTACTCCTGAGGTAGCAAAAGTACGCAACTGCGCTTGTCCTATTATATTCGTTTGCTCCATCAAGAAACGAATTACCTTAGAGTGAATAGTTGCCAACAAGGTAGCTTGTTATATCTCCATTCTCGGATCCTGAAGATTTGGGGCGTCACGAGGAAAGAAACGCATAACATGTTGTAGGGCTTGAGCTTCATACCCAACATTAATATGGACGGGAAAAACTGGATAAAGATTTAAAATGGTTTATAAGCATTTGTGCTTTGACGCTACCTAAGCAAGATCCGCTAGGTGAACGTTCTCTAAACCGATTTCGGCTCGCGGATTAAGAAATCTAAGGCCCCCTTGTTTAGTAGGCAATTTGGCTTACGACCATTGGATTCGAATTAAAATAATATTAAGATATGATTCCAAATATTTCTTTATTCGATTGTGGAAGAAATTCAAATATGATCTAAGGAGTGGTGTAGCACAAATATTTCTTTTTTTAAAAATATTAGTGCTCTGCATAAGATGGAAGCAGCATGCTTGTGCGGCAAGTATTTTATCGTAGAGAAAAAATTCTCAATTTCCTGAATCTTCTATTCATAGAAATTATGAAAACAATCCGCCGACCCCGCAACAGGCGCTTTAAACATGAGCACATCATGATCAATAATCATAATAATTCCTAACGTCTAGAAATACGAAATATCTCCATGAAATTGTTTCCCCGTAAGAAGGTATTTCTTAAGCCAAAATACAATCCAAAAATCTTTAACCTCCTCCCCATAAACCCATTGTCCGCAAATGCCGGCGTAAATTCCGGCGGGGGCTTATTCGATGACGAATAAGACAAAACAAAGGACTCATGATGGGATATCCTTGTTATCCTCACGAATATTGTTCCAATTGTCCTTGGTAAACCAAATAAGACGGGGTTCCATAACACTAAGAAGCAAATCGAACCGAAGAAGGAATATAGTCACGGATATCCTTCAAGAATTGAATAGGCAATATTTTATTAAAACCATTGTGAATGTCGGTCTGCAGAAGAATATAAGTGGGCCTAGCAATATCTTGTCTACTCCGTTCTCGTGTCGCATAGATGATGACCTCAGCACCACAAGAAACACCGACGGCCAACTAACTGGGTGCCAAATGCTGCTAAACTTCGGGGCGGTCTATCCAAAGTGCATGTAAACAAAAATATCCTCCAAATAAATATCATAATAATCGAGCGAATATCCTCATTTAATTAGATATTTTTTTTTTTTCCCGGGCATCGGTCTTCCCAACCCCAATTACTTAGCCTCCGCCAATCCAAAGATGTATATAAGCGGGAGCCAATGCGTCAACCAACAACTGAGCAAAGTCGCGAAAAAATGGCATCACAATCTCATCCAAGCCGGAACCCAAAAGAGCTTTCAAGAAATCAATTCTTAACCCATCTAATCCCAAACCAACACCTACGGCAAAAACACGGATCTGCCGAATTAAAATATCGATTATAAGGTTAAAAACGATATGTTCAAAATGTGAAATAACGAATCTAACGAACAAAGAAGAAATTTTTTATCAATCTCCTTTATTCAAATATTAGATATTCAAAATATATATTAAATTAGAATCATTAATTTCAAAATCACAAAAACAAAAATATAAAATCAACACCTATCACACAAAAATCAAAACAAACACATATCATTTATTTTATTATTTACATACAATTAATAATCCATCAATATATATATTCTACCACAACAATCTACCAAATCTATTTATTTCTACCTATTGTCTATTCAAAATAAATAAATAAATACTAAAATTTTATTTAATATATTATTTCAAATACATATTTATATAAATGCAATCGATTTTCAATAATCTTAATATATTTTCAAATTTCAAAATATAATTCCAATCAATTAATAATTTCATCGAACCATTTTATCAATATTTCAAATACATAATGCCTATATTTATCAATTATATATATATATATTAGTAGGGGCCCGCTACTTTCCAGCAACGTGCGAAATGAAGCCCATAGCGAGAGAATAACAGAATCAGAACATAAAATAAAACAATATTCTAATTTAAATAATTATAGATAAATATACACAATCATATTCCCAGAGACAAAAACAAGCAGACCGAGCAAATGCTTGACAAAATGCGGCCCAAAACAACACCATCAATCATTATAAACATCGCCAAACTCTCGCATCATACACTCGAATCTCTTAAAATTAGACCAAAACCGATCAACTTCGCCGTCTCATTATTACCCTAAATCTTATCTAAATTCCCATTTATAACACGTTTTTTTACAAAACCAAAATTTTGATTTCAATTTTAAAATAAACAATTCCAATCCTCTAAAAAAATATTTCGCATTCCTCTATAAATCTTTCAACCAAAACAAGCCCATATATATATATCCAAAAATCAAACCAAAACAATGACCAAAAGATATTCAAACTTCACATCCCAATAACTCATATCGACAACCTCTATCTCTAAATTCGCCTCGGCCCCAAAGGGGCCAAGGGCGCTCAAATCTCTTCTCCAAAGAGAATCTTCGCTTTTCCCCTCCCCCAACCCCCTCCCCGACCAAAATTTTGCCGGCCCGCCACCCCCCCCACCCATGTCGGCTGGCCCAAAATCCTGTCCGGCGAGCCTTGAAATTTTCGGGGTTCGTCGGCGTCCAGCTCCATGGGTCCATTTTTGTCGAAAATGTGCTGACAATTGCGAAATCACTAAAAAATGGTTTTTTTGTCCTGAAAAGCATGACCTCCCAAGTCATCCAGGCCCAAAAGTATGCCAACCTGAGACTAGCCACAGACTAGCCTCAGGCCCAGTCCCTCAGCCCGCCTACTAACGTGTCTTACGTGTCTACGACTGGCCTCAGGCCCAGCCAGCAATTCGCCACCCAGCCTCAAGCCCAAATGTGTATATATATAAAATAGGCCTTGCCCATCCAGTAACCCGCCCAAACACAGCTCACCCCAACCCGCCCAGCCCAAATTCCAGGCGCAACCAGCAGCGTAATCCGACTACCCGGCAGCCAGCAACTCACCCATAGCTTCGTAACTTCGTAGTTTAGACTAGTTTCAGCCCAACGTGCCAAAGTCAGGTTTGTCTAATGTATCTAAAATTAGCCTCAAGCCAACGACCAATCTCACATATCTAAGATTAGTCTCAAGCTACGCCAGCTACTAAGCCTATCTAACGTGCCCCAGCCCAATCGGTAATCCTAACCCTACCCTCAAACTAAGCTGCGCCGAGGCAGGCAGCGCGAAGCATTTACAATTATTCATTTAAAATAATCCATTCTATATAATTTAAAATATAATATATTAAACCTTCGTCTTAAATATTATATATACCTAAACACAACATCCTCCAAATTCCATAAAAATTATTCCATAACATAAAACGAATCCTAAATTTATAAATTCATAACAATTAACCTATATAATATCAATTAATTCATTAATCTCAACAAACAAGGAGAGACCAACAAACAAAGAGAGACAGAGAAAGATACCGACAAAGAGACAAAGACAAAAAGAAACACACCTCCGGCGCGCAGCACACACAAACAAAAAGACAGAGACAAACACCAAAAACAAAGACAAAAACAAACACAGAGACAAAGACAAACACAGACACAGACACACAGACACACAGACACAGACACACAGACGCAGACACACAGACACAGACACAGACACACAGACACGCAGACACAGACACACAGACACGCAGACACAGACACACAGACACACAGACACAGACACACAGACGCAGACACACAGACACAGACACAGACACAGAGACACAGAGACACAGAGACACAGAGACACAGAGACACAGAGACACAGAGACACAGAGACACAGAGACACAGAGACACAGAGACACAGAGACACAGAGACACAGAGACACAGAGACACAGAGACACAGAGACACAGAGACACAGAGACACAGAGACACAGAGACACAGAGACACAGAGACACAGAGACACAGACACAAACAGACACAGACACAAACAGACACAGACACAGACACAGACAGACACAGACACAGACAGACACAGACAGACACAGACAGACACACAGACAGACAGACAGACAGGCAAAGAAACAGATACCAGAGACAGAGAGACTAACAGACAAAGAGAGACAGAGAAAGACACCGACAGAGAGACAGAGACAAAAAGAGACACACATCCGGCGCGCAGCGCGCCGGATTCTGATGTCGACATGCCACAGGCTTCGCCTGCGCGCGTGCACGCGTCCGATTCCGAGCCCGAGAGCCGTGATGCAGACGGGCTGCAAGAACGCGCGTGCGAGCTCTCGGCTGCGCGTGCCCCAGTTGCACGCGGCCGCTGGCCGCTTGTCCCCTGGCGCCCTCGCCCAGTGGAGCGAGCGAGTGGGAAACGGTTTGTCACGCGCTTGTCTCGGCGCTGCCCTGTCGCTCCCACGACCAGGAGGTGGTTGCAGGACTGGGCGCCGCGGGTTGCTACCGGCCCGGTTTGGATTGGTAGTTTGGATCGGTGTTTTGGAGGTAAGGGGGTGGTTTCCCATTCAACTTCAACATGATCCAGGGGTTCAATCCCCAAACCACCAATCCAAACCAGCAATTAGGGGTAAGTTGAGGCGGGTGCCAAAAAAGGGCCAAGCTCTCAGGGGCCAAGATCTTATAGAGCCCGCGCCGGCAAGACATTTTTTGCAACTCAGGCACCAGCATATTTTATCATCTCATACGTATCAAAAAATGTATACTCGTCGCATGCGAAAAGCATGCTGCCGTTCTCCAAACACAGGTCGAGAGACGCACTGAGGGCCGGGCTGGTCGCGATAAGGTCACGCCAAAGAGTCAGTGAAAGGCGGTCGCCTGAGCAAGGTGAGAACGGATCCGCGGGCTGTTGGCCTCAAAAGATCCATCCACACACGCAGTTGTTACAAGCGCAAGCGAAAACGCGATCGACCAGAAAACATCCTGGGTGCAAGCAAAGCCAAACTAATTTCGCCCAAAGCATAGGGAAAAACACCACTGGTCGCAACAATCGGCCGCGGCTCACAGCTTCTCGCATCGCCAAACTCTCGGAAGATGGGCCAAGATTTCAGCCAAAATTGCTACGGACAGGCAAATATATGCCCCGACTCTTTATCCATCTACGGATGGGGAGATATATACCTAGACTCTTGACCTAGAAGACACAACGACTTCGTTCAAAGCCCGGACCATTTTTCCGAAATATCCCGGATATTTCGATAGTCGCACGCCAGACCATTTTGCCGAAATATTCCGGATATTTCGACGATAGCATTTCCCGAAATATTTGGAATATTTCGGGAAAATGGTCCCCGAAATATTCGGAACATTTCGAGAAAATGGTGGGTGGCTGCGATTCCCGGACCGCTTTCCCGAAATATCTGGAATATTTCGGGAAATCTGTCCCTACAAACAATGAAGCCACTATGTCTTCCGCACATATGCCGGGGTAGCCCGGACAGATTTGGGCAAGCGCTCCGAAGGACATATAAAGCGGTTACATCTTCCAGGGGCAGTCCAGACCCATTTTCCGAAATATCCGGGATTTTTCGGAAAAGCGGTCCGGGAAAACGCGCGCAAGTGCGACGAGCAAATTTCACGGTTTCGTTTTATAGAGTAAAAAATAATTCCTTCAAAATAAAACATAACCCAATAATCTTCTCATACACCATCCTTAATTTAATTCCTCTCTATCAATTTTATATATATATATATATATTTGCACAATTCCTAATATATAATAAATAACCCTTAATTAAAAACCCATTAATTCAATTATAAAATCTAATAACATAACACTAAACTAATCTCAAAATTCATAAATCTCACAACCAAATAAACATGGGGCGAAAATACTAACCCGCTCAGCCGAAAATCAACCACTAAAAATATTCAGGGTAGTAACCCGCCCCCTCGAAATAAAGTACAAATATGGCAGGGGGATCAAACGATCTAGGTTCCGCCAGAAATACGCATTTCCACACTTACCGAAATATGGAAAGAATACTTCATATATGACATTAATGTTGAATTAGAGATTGTCAGCGCCTCAGTGTTGTGAGCTAAAAAAAACCAGGCGCTTTGCTCGTTTTCATCGCCGCTTCTTCTCCATCCGCGCCGTCTTCATCTCGTTCCTGGTAGCAAGCCAGCCATGCCAGGGAGGGAGGCTGAGGGAAGTGGAGCTCATCCCAGGCCAACCGCACGCACCAGCAAGGGTACCCGATTTTTCTCTGTGGTCTATTTTAGGGGAACCCTCCGCCAAAAAAACGGTTTTCAGGGCAGAAAAGGAGCAAGTGGTTGTTTGATAGTTTGATGTCTATTCCACGCCTCCAGGACTTGGAGCTCCGCTCCTTCTGCGGCTTCTCCCGCGTCATGCGCCACAGAGACCAGGCCCCGAAGGCCACGAGGCCTGCGCGAAACTGTCGGAACGTGCGCCGGATGCGTTTTTTTTTTTGGGGGGGGCACAAAGAAAGGCACATGTGCAATGAGTCCCATTGTGGCATACAGAAACAAACACAAGCACAACAAAACAAACACACACACACACAGACACACAGACACAGAGACACACACACAGACACACACCTCCCTCTCTCTCTCTCTCTTTCTCTTTCTCTCTCACTCATTCTCTCACTGACATTTATTTTCACAGACTGCTGGCACTTCTGCTGCAGGCTACACACATTTGGCGGGCAATCCTTTGGACTCCGCAAGTTGTGCACGTGCAAATTGCATAAGCAATCTGCAAACTCATCAAACTTGTCACTAAAGCGCAATTCCGGCATTATCACCAAGACTGCAATGGCTCCTGCTGCCACAGCGTTTTGCTCAGGGGCCTGTTTGTACAGCTCTGAGCAAGCGCATGACAGCACAGATTTGGCTATGAAAAACAAAATCTGCAAGGCACATGCCGTCAGAGTTGGGGCCATTTGGCAGCCGCTCATCAGGCTGTGCCTGAAGTAGGTCCTCCATTTGGCAAGCGGACAATGAACGTTTCCACCAGCCCTCAAAGGAAATTAAACAGGTCTTCAAAATAATCTGGGAGCTTCGGGGCTGTCCTCAACTGTGTAGTGGTGGCAAAGTCGATGCCATGTTTCCAGTGCTTCTGAGCTCGCGTGCCTTCATCGTTTGTCAGCTCCAAACTCCGTGCAGCCGATGCAGTCTCAACGTAGACACACTTGACTCAGAACGGGACAGACATCGGCATCTTCAAAGATCGCCAGCCATTTGAACTGCCAGCGACCTCCCAAGGAAGCAAGCTGGAACCTTCCGATCTTCAAGTCTCAGGTCAGGCGCCCCCCCCTTTTTGTTTGCTGTTAAAGTTCTTGGCCTGGCTTATTTTTTTCTGCTGTACAAAACATGCTGAAAGGTCCTTGAAGCACACCCTATGAAAAGCTACGAAGAAACGCAGTGCCTTGTCGATCGGCACCACTTGACCTGAAAATACGGTATGGCAAGCTACGGCAGTGCCTTATCTGAGGTCCGGGCTACCCTCCAGAACTGGAAGCTTGGAAGCCTGATTCAATGGTGCACTTAGTGCACTTGTCCGCAAAACGGAGAAGTGAAAGAGAGGGAGGGAAACAAAAGAAGGAGAGGGGAAGGAAGATGAGCCAAGAAGAAAGGTGGGAGGAAGGAGACGGAGAAGTCAGAAGGGTCGCTCCCTTTCTCCCTACACTCTACTCGGTTCCTCGGTTGTGGACGGAGGAAACAATCTGAGATTCTGTGGGAGGGTAAGGCCTGAAGCCTCTGAACTTCCCCTTGCCTCGTTTCTCCTGTCATTGTTTTGTCCATGGCCCGTGCAGGGCTGGGCAGTAGTGTGGCATCCTCGATGGGTCCACCAAAGATGCCCGCTCCTGGCACATGGGCTTTTCGAGGACACGGGCGCCGTTTTCTGGGGCACCTGTTTTAAGTGGTCTCCCTTTTGGTTGGTTTCAAATAGAAAAGAACAAGGAAACCACGGAGGGATCAAGTGGAAGGCTTGGGGAAATTCGGTCCTGCCTCCACCTGCGCTGCTTCCAACGCCCCCCGAGATCCCGATGGATCCCACTGAGGTGTCCAGGGGGTGCCGGCTGGGTCTCTTTTCGCCATCTCGTGGGCTGGCCTGTCGAGACGGTGAAGCTGTGATTGACTGGATGGCAAAGGAACAGGTACTACATAGGAACAGGTGCGGTTTGTGACCAAGCATACAAAACGTGACGGGGTTGGTCTGCTGTGTTGAAAGCCAGTATCGCTTGTTGTTCCTTCCAATGAGCCACTGGCCGTTCTGAGCACAGTAATTTGTTCACAGCCAGCAAACAGGACGTCAACACTAGCGCAAACATCACGCTGTCCCCCCTGTTCTACCGTCTGCTTGGACAAGGCGTCAATAGCATTGTCAACGCATCACGAGAAGCTAGACGCCCAGCCAAGGAACGAAGGCTGAAAGGCTATGTCCTGGATTTTCTGGGGTGCCGCTGTGACCCCCCACCCCTCCACCCCTGTTGCCTGCCGCCGGAGTATGTTGATCATGTCGGGCTGTGGCCCATGCACCTGGCAAAATACATGCTCGAGTCGCGGTGTCGCGGCTGAAGGATAGACGCGCCTCCATGGGATTCGGGTTCGAGTACTTCAGGGCGACCGTTGTCAAACGGTCCAGGCCTAAGTGTCAAATTCCATGTGCAAAGTACTGAATGCGCTGGGTCCGCAACTCCAGTCAGGAGGAATTCTGCGGTGGGTAACCTGGCCACCATTCCGACAAGTCTTGAGATCCTGAACCATCAGTTGCAGCCGCGGGGCCCAATACCGCAGACTCAGCAACTCTTCCAAGAGCTCCTTCTCATTGAGAAGTCGATTCTGACGGGAGAGGCCCACCAAGGGTGGGCCTCTCAGAACATGTTGCGCCAGGCAAACCTGCCAAGGTTATGCTCAGAACACGGAGGAAACGCCTTTCAGGCACTTTGCTGACAAGCTGCCAGGCCCATGCAAATCCCCTGGACCTGCGCGTGCACGCGTCATATTCCTTTTCCCCAGCTGAAGCAAAACACCCATGACACGAAGCTCAGCGCCTGCTCTCTGAGCTGCTCTTCTACCGGATCTTCTGAATATTGACTCATTTCTTCACTATCCTGGATCTGGAAACGGCAGACATGCAGCATGGCTTTGTGTGCGTCCTCGTCATAATACTCATCCTGATTGCGAGGCGATTGCAACAGTCGCGTCTGGGCAGACCAGCCCTCGACTTCCCTGTAACAACCTGGGTGACAAGATTCCTCATACAAGCGTTCCCGTCCTCATCCATACCGTTGCCGGAGGCAGTGCGGCGATGCAAAGGTAGGCTCACCTTTCGATCACACATGCGCATCAACAATACCCTGTTGCAAGGCAAACTCAATGGAATCCACACCAAAAAGGATGTTTCTTTTTGACCCAAGTCTGATTCGGGCACAGAAGCTGGTGCCAGATTGACTGTGAAGCGAAGTGAGTGAAGATGGAGAAAGCGGACAGTAACAGGCCGAAGCTTTGTTCAGGGTGTCATTCTGACAGGGTTGCTTGGGAAGGGACAAAATGAGGCCAGGTGGCAAAGAATATTGGAGTGATAATGAGCAAGAACTGGACTGATCTGACGGCTTTGGTCCATGCACGTAGTAGAGAACCTCCATCAAGGAGTGAACGCCCAGGCACAAACATTATGGTTGATGAGCTTGCAACAGATCTGATCTCACAGGGGCAAGACAGCTGAATCCGGGACAAAGCGTTCGTTCAGAAAGCCCACCGCAGCTCGAAAAATGGATTGCAGTGGCAGGGGCAACTTGCCAGGAAGGGACTTACCTTTGTGGTCAACTGAGACAGCTGCTTAGAGCCATGTTGCAAATCAGTCATATATGTGGGCAGGCTGCTTAACTTGCCTCTTGCGAAATCTGTATGCGAAATGGAAGAAGAATCACCGGCACGCCTTGGATGTTCCGCTGTGCGACCTGCAGAAGTTCAAATCCACACGGGTTTGCTCGTGGGATGCTCTAAGGATCTCACTGCGAAAGCCCGCCCTCCTCAGCGAGATCCGCTTGCATCACGATTTGGCCAATGCGACTCAAGACTGGAACCTGCCAGTTTCTCGCAGTACCATGCCAGTAAGAAGTCTTGCAAAGCCTGTAGGTCCGAAGTGCACACTAGCATGTGTGCATGTTATGGTTGACTTTGTTTGGTCAACATTTCAAAACATGCAGCATGCCTTCATAGCATCGACTGGCAGGTCTCACAATCTAGGGTTCAGTCTTCAAACCCCTCTTGATCATCTTCGCCTGCTAGCCGTCCTTGCCATGGCATCACTATCATTCCTCAACCATCTGCATGAAGAAAGCAGCTGGCCGGTCCTTTGTCGTCCCTGGGATGGATCAGCACTCAAAAAGCCAATCTAAGTTGCAAAACCGACTTGACCCAAGGCCGCAGCTCGAAGGTGGAGGTGCTGTCCTGCCAGCCAATGCAAGCTCAAAAAATATCCGACAAAAACACTGAACCACTGGCCTGGCCCAAAGCAGTGGATGCGGCCTTTGCCCAAGATGCAGAATCAAGTCTTTGAGAGGAGTACTATAAGGCACTGCTGCAACAGGTTCTATTTGCGAGAGCTTGGCCAAGGCGATGCACACTGATGCAGGAGTTGTCGCATCAAATGCTGCGATATCTGAGTCCCGCGACTGCGCTCATACTGCTTTTGGACGCATCCCTGCATGCGAGGCATGCAAGTCAATCACTCCAAGCAGGTTCGGAAGGACATTGTCAAAGGCGTGTTCCTTTAGCGTTGCTGCATGCGACGGAAGCACGTCAAAGCACGAGTCGCCAGGAGCCTCTTCATCACTCGAAGTCGCTGACCTCTCCTCACAACACCTCTTCTGCCACCTTGTTTCAAGTTGAAGAGCAGCAAGCTCATCGAACAACGTAGCACACAGCACTTTTGGTAGACAAATCCTCTCGCAGCTTCAATCAAAAACCATTGCACCCCATTGCAAGCTGGGCGTCTGCTGGATGGACTGGCGCCATTGCCCTTTGCCAGCACCGAGACCTACAGCTCGCTCGCGGCAACGCGCGGTAGGGAGTAAGTTGTGAAGTCCATGGCCTGCATGTCGATGTTCGCAACTTTTTCCTGCACCAAAACATGTCACGGGAGAAACAAGTGGAAGTGATTGCACGGGTGTCTCATTCTCGTGAAAAGGAATTGGCCCCCCAAAATGGAAGTGATTACATGGGCGTGTCTTTTTTTGAAGGGGACTCCCAGAGTGGCTTCGGTCTTCCTTCCAGTTGTCCTTTAAACCACACAAGATTGGGGAGGGTCCATCCAAAAAAACACGGCATGGCTGTAAGGCCGAGCGGCGCCCTGATTCTGCAGGACCTCCTTGAGCTCAAAGAGCTGGTTGCTGAAGACTTCCTGGTCTCAAAGTAGGATTTGGAACCCTCAAAATTGTTCTGGGTCAAAATTAAACCACCAGGGCACAGGTTTTAGTCCATGATTCCACTTACCGATTTTTGACCCACAGCCACATGGGTTGCCTTGTGTCCCTCTAAAACCATCCATGGGTACCTTCTCAAAAGCAGACCCACAGTCTTGGACTTCCGCTTCACGGCTCACGGCACGCAACGGGAAACTCTGCCCAGTCCTTGGCGACGCATTTTTGCAAAGACTCCTGGCGCAGCGGTTAGCCCCCAGTGAACATCCGATTCAATCCCCACTAAAATAGGTTCTAAAATGGGTGGTGCACCTTCCCCAAAATGGGATCCCATTGGTTTTGACCCACGGCCATCTGTCAAAACAAGAACTATAGTCATCTTCTGGCGTCACTTTAGGTGGACTACACTCCCAAGCCTTGCATTCACTGGCACAAATAGCTCAGTCCGTCAGCTGCTTCCTGTCTTCGAGCGTGGCGCGGGCTGCAATGTCCTGGATGACTGACTGCCTGCCTTCGAAATCTGTGCCAAACAGCCTGGCGGCCGGCCTCTTTGTGTCCATCCAGCTGAACGGCGTGCTGATCAACCTCACCGTAATCGAATGCATGCGTCAGGCTCAGCATCCTTCAATCGCAGCCCGCATGAATCTGCCATGCCATCAAGACTCACCGAATGACCGAGACTTCGGCTTGAGATTGCACGAGGCGGACTCGGTCGATTGCCTCAGTGAATGTCTGCAAACCCTTGCTGTATGCTTAAAAAAGATCCGCGCATGTTGAGTATCTTGTGCCGCTTTTTCTCCACACTCAAGGATCAGCTTATAAACCTGCGAACGCACGAGTTTCCCGCAACAATGTGACGGCATGGACCTTGCCAGCTCTGCAGTCTCCACAGGCCTTCTGGAATGTAGATACATTCTCGATGGCCTCCCCTTTCCGTGCATCACTCTCCTTAGCTTAAGCCAGAATGGCCGGCTCAGCCGCCGAACATGCGCTCAGCTGAAATGACAGAACCTGCTCACCAGAAGACTTTGTCAAACCAAACGCAAGCACAAACCTGTGCCATCGCTAGGCCGGAAGCCGGTGTCATCCCGCACTAAGCTGAAAGCATCTCGCAGGTCGCGCGTGAGCTTCTGGCCCTGGCACGCACAAGTCAGGGTGCAACAGCTCTGAAGATTCCAAGGGCTGGGTGGGTTGTTCTCCGCCGCCCTCTTTGGGCATGAGTCTTAACAACCTCCGAGGGCAAGCTCTTTTATGATGGGTTAGGGTTTGGGGATTGTTTGGGGTAGGTAAAGGGTTGCTTTTCCGGAGCAGTTGTCTGTCAAAGCAGATCGAGCTTTTATTCAGGAGGAATGGCTGTAGTTTTCCAAGCAGTGAGTCTTGTCTGTGAAGCCCCCTCCTCAGAAAAGGCAACTGGGCCCAAACATGTTTGTCGTTTTGAGAGTCGAGAACTTCAAGAGTAGCCCAACTCTGTCAGCAACGTATGATCCGCATGTTGCAGCTAGCATGTCAGATGTGTCAAAGGAATGTTGGGTTAACCGCTCCACGTACACAGCCCATTGCTGTTGGAGTCAATTGAGTTGAGCTGGTCTTTTATCAGCTGGTGCGTGGACCCCAGCTCCATCTTTCTGTTGACCCCTGCAGGGTACTGGTTCACTGGAATCTGACATGGCCCCGTGTTTCCATCATGGGAAGACACATATTCCTTGCAACTTCAACCCTAAACCCTAAGGCCTGGAAACAAAGTGGGTGACCCACACACCAAAAGCCATAGACTCCGTCGAGCCCAAGCAAACTTTAACATTTCAAACTCAGTTCACACACGGCCAAACCATGAGATCGGGCCAAGCAACACAAGTCAATGAAGCTGCGAGTTCAGCAAAAATTTGGCAACTCTGAGGACATCACCTTCACATTTACTTCTGCAATCTCCTTCTCTTTTGCGCGGATCTTTTTCTCAAACCTCGGCATTGGCCACTCACGTTGTGCGTTTTATGGCATTTGCTGTTGAGCAAGGTAAAACCAAAAACATAGGGCACGGCTGCCAAAGCCGTGAAATCATCAAACCAGCGGCATATCAGAACGTGGAATGCTACAAACTCGCCTTGAATTATTGGAACATCTGCCAAACCTATTTCTTAGTTTCAGAGTGCCGAAACCGCGGTAAGCGCTCTGCGCTTCCCGCTGCTTCACGAGGTCCCGCTGTAGCTTCTCCACCTGGCAGCAGCTTATTTGGGGATTGAGCCACTGCACTGGGAACCTTCTGCGGTCCTCCCTCAAAAGAAACCTAAGCGGTAACAAACATATTGCACATTCCCCCACTTCGACTTCGCCCAACTCAGCACAATGAGAGCTGCAATGATCAGTGATCTGTACAAAATGAGGACTCGTACATCTCGAATTACCTTGATTGAAACTCGCAGCGAACTCTCTCGTGAGCCCAGCAGCGCTGGCAAATTGATAGGTGTATTCGCTTGACACATTCGGGAGCCAAAGGTGCTCTCCGATCTTTGGCCCATTGCGTTGAACACAAAGCAACCCCCGCGTTGCACAAAGATGCGCACGTTCTGGACATGCACTTTGACAACGGTCACGACATTGATATCATCATTCCGTTTCGGGCCATTCTGGGCGTTGTTGCTGTGGCCCTCGGTCAATGTGCTGCCATGTTGATTCACGGAAACCTCACCTGAGGCAATCTGAAGAATAGCTTGCTTGAGTAGTTCACGCCGGCTCTGCGGGCTCTGTGAGTGTGTGTAGTGTGATTCACTTATGTTGGGCTGAAAGCACGAAGAAGGTGGTCATCTTTGTGCTCTAAAAACAAGTTGCACTGAGTGGCACCAATCCTACATGCCACTCGGCCCAGGCAGGCCGAACATCATGAAGTAGAGGACGAGAACAAAAAGCAGACGTCATGGGAGTTTTTTAGCCAAATTTTCAAGTCACCAACAAAGGACGGAAGGGACAACACGCCAAATATGCAAGCCGCAAAACAGACAAGTCACCAAAAGGAAACACCAACGAAGGAAGGGGAGCATACACAAGAGTCTGCGCCAGACTGGTATTACACCCGGCGTAGGCGCCAACGTGCCTTGGGTCCGTGGGTGATAGCCACAAGCCGACCCACGCGATGGAGACCCTTACAATGCCACCCTGCTGCATGCCTGGTGGGTTGATGCGAAACCGGGTCCAAAAAATAACTTAGTGGTTCTCAGCAGGGAATCAACGCATAGAAACAATCCCTCATGTTTCCTTCAAGGGACACCTAGGTTCATTCCCAAAACCCAGGGTCATTCTCTACTGAGCGCCAGCAAGAGAATGGTCCCATTTGGAATACTGTATGTGCTGCGATTCCACACCTCCTCTCGCATGGGCTGCATGAGGCCGATGTCCACCATGTTCATCAGGGCTTCTCGCCACCTACGTGAGCGGATTTGAGCGCTTAAAAACGGAAGGGCTCATGCCGTTTTCGCTTTTGCAGCTACCCTGTTCAGATACATCCTGCCACACCGGGGCATGGACACACCTGGACCCTTGAAATCACCGACCATGCCCTGCCGGGCGACCTGCAAGGCCTGGCAGTGGGGAGTAGTCATCGCTTCGGGGATTCTCCGGTGACCGAAAGGAACAAATAGGTCGTGCGTCATGCGGCATGGTCAAATGCCCGACACCTTCTCACGGCGCTCTGCAAGGAGCGTGGCTGCATCTTGCACCTCGTGGCCATGCAAACACCACAAACGCGGCATACACCCGCCACCCAGCCAAACCCACCCAGCCAAACCCACCCACCCAAACCCAACCAGCCAAACCCACCCACTCTACACAAGCACACGTAGGTGGTGGCTTAAATTCGCAATGGACGGAATGCAGCCTCAACTTCTAAAGGATCCAGCTTGCTTGCGCTACAACAAGCATAACAATAGAATCATCACAAGTTTGATTTTTTTCAGCACTCCAGCCTCGGGCACGGACACTCTCCGCGTGCTTGAAGTCACCTGTATCCAATCAAACTCACATGGCTTAGAGCTCACTGAGCTAAGCAGCGCACCAGGTCTGAGGCTCGTTGCGCCGTTGCCACCTTCGGCAGTGAGCCCAAACAACGTGCAAGGTGCAAGCAGTGCACAACAGCCGGGGTGCGCTGCACACAGTAAACACACCCACAGCTCACCTGGCCTGCGCTGAAGCAACTTTGTCTTCACCTCAGTCGCTTCATCTGGAACGTAACCCTATTTTTTGACCAAGACCGGCACCGGGGATCTCCAACCTGAGTGACAGGAAACCCCAAGCCCCGCTTGATGCCCTGTCGTCACTGAGGCAGCTGCTGGTCCTCGCTGACTGACTCGCGTGCGAAAAGAAGCCTTGCAAAACGGAGCTGTTGGCTTGAAGCCCGGCGAGTGTCATCTGCAGTTGAGCCGCTCCCCAGTGATTTTCCGCGCCTGAGGAACCATCTCACAGCTTCAACCCAATGCTTTTGAAGAAAAAACACATCCAGCTGCCTCCGTCACCGCAAAATATTTCATGCGATCTTCTAAATCCTGAGGCGAGGCAGTCAAACCAAGTGCTACTTGCCATGTGCTCATTGATCCTGCCTCCACTGACTTCTGAATATCCTTGACTGCATTCAAGAATTGAGCCTGCCGCATTCGGTAGTTGGTCTTAGCTAGGTACCCTTCGATGAAGAACACGTGGACATCGCATGGAACACGGCCGACATCTATGGTACTGCCAATAACACAGACTTGGCGATAGCAACCATTGGCAGTTGCGCTATATCTCACGAACCACATGCTGCACAGAGAGAACAATGTGCTTGTGCACGTACATGAGTTTCTGTGGACTCCCGGTGACTGGTGCAACGAAAGGCAACATGTCACTGGTGATACCGGAGATAGCTGGCATGACTGGATGTGGGCCGTTTTCATCAAAAAGGGCTTATCACTTATCATCTGCCGGTGAGCGGAGCAGTGCATAGCAACACTGGGAATAGAACGACAGATGTGGCAAGCAAGAAGTCGGAAGGAAGGACACGTTGTGACACCTTGCTTTGTACATACATTCAAAAATAAACACAAACAAACAAACAAACAAACAAACAAACAAACAAACAAACAAAACCAAACATAGGTGGCCTTTTGGAAAAATAGATGGCCCTGGTAAATAGAAGAAACCCCATCTAAACCAGGGCCATCTATTTTTAAATCAAACTAACCTAAAAAGGACACCATGGAAACCAAACCAAACCAAACCAAACCACACCAAACCAAGCCAAACAACACCAAACAAGACCAAACAAAACCAATCAACACCAAACAAAACAAACACACACACACACACAGAGACAACCAAACACAAATAACAACAAAGAAACCAAATCAAAACAAACAACCAATCCAAATAAACAAATAAACAAATAAACATTACCAACAACAAACAAGCACAACACACAACACAAACCAAATAAACAAAACACGGAAACCAAAGAAAACAAAGAAGCAAACAAACAAGCACACAAACACAGAAACACACACACACACACACCGCATTCTCAATTCTCAGAAACTCGGAACGGTTGGTCATAATGTGGCCCCGGATTTGTATCATATTTTCCGCGGAGGCTATCAAGTAACCACACACGACGAGCGCACAAACACAGCAAGTACATACATATATATATATATGTATATAGGTAGCACGTTGGGTCAAGCAAACATTTTGCCCGTGGCCAATTGCTCAACTGACAGCGCAGCGACTGAGGTTGTTGGAGCTGGTTGGAAAGGCAGAAGGAACTAAAATATGCCCTGCCAAGCAAAGGTGACTTCATCTGTTGGTACTGCCTTGCGATTTATGATGAAGTCCTAACTCATGCATGACTTCCCCGAGTCAGCATTGATTTGAGAGGCGTAACATGGGTATGACATTTACGCGTCCCTGGCGGCCTCACATCGAACGCATTGCCTGAATTGGAATGGGAGAAACATGGCCGTTCTGCAGGTTACCTGTGAATGAATGACAGGAACAATTTGCGGAAAATCATATTTGGGTTTGGTAGAATGGGGCAAAGGCGTACTCGTCGTTTCAACATTGAAGCAACACACAGCAATTAGACCAACTATTGTTCATTCAGTTGCATGTTTTTCCTCAAGCATGTAACCATGGTGCACATACTTCTCAAACACAAAGCTGTCAGGCTTTCTCCAAGGCAAGGCAGAAGTGACGACATGCTCTCACCAAGTGACACTCTGTCTTGGCAAGCAAGTCATTCTGAATCTGGGCAAGGCATCAATGAAAGTTAAGCTTCGTACCGTGCGCTGCGGGCTCTTGTGATATTGGCTGAAACGTTCTGGAGTCACGCAAAAAAAAAATATGTGATCCTAATACACAAAAAACAGCTCCTGAATGAGACCCACAAACCAATCGATGCACTAATTTTATGCTCTGGGAGGCCAAGAGACCATAAACAAAATCAGTAGGGAACTACTTCCAAAGCAGCTCGAACCATTCGCAAATCAATGCCGTCTTCATCATGCGGGCGGGCGGGCGTGTGTCTGTCTCTGTCTGTGTCTGCATCTGTGTGCGTGTTTCATCGAGTACCTTGGTATGTTTGTCTTGGTGAGTGTTGTTCATCTTATATTTCAGCTGAAAACAAAATCCACGGACCGACATAAGGCCCAAACAACTCGTATGCATTGCAATGGTCGCTGTTTCTACGCCTGGTGCCTACTGACACCTGGCCGACCGAGCGCCTCCATCTTGTCGCTCTTGGTGTGCTCATTTGCCAGCTCTGTGTCCAGCTTCGCCAGCGCCTCCTTGATCCATTTTGCGCGGTTTGCGGTTTGAGCGGCTCCAGCAAACTCCCGGACGAACTGAAACCGCTCTGGGATCTGTAGGCTCAATCAATGGCTTGTTTTCAGGAATTTGGGGGTGCCCCTATCAGTTCTCAATATTTCTCGGAACGCATCACCCGAATAAGGATGCACTCTACCTGGAGATAGAAATTGTTGCATTTGAAGCAGTGTAGTGTGCGCAAAATACACTTGCCAGCTCCAGCTCGAAACGTACACTTGCTCGAACGTCACAATTGTTCCTACTACACGAAGCACATGTTAGCAGCTAGCTTGAAAATCGCACCTTTTGACTTTGGCAGCTCCAGCCCGAATATCGTAATTTTCAATGAGAGAGGTGCACGGCCTATCTCACAGTTGCATGAACATCTGGATTGGTCAACAATAATGTATAGTGGTTGGCAGGACATGTGACCTAGCAACACAGTACACCCGAGCTGGACCTTTTTGAGATAGCCTCACATTGTTGTGCTATTCAACATCGAGCAGAGCGCACAGAAGGGCACACACCATGGACAAAGCCGTGCCTTCACTCAGGGAACGTACATAGCTGATAGGGGAAGCCTGCAAAGCCAATACCCGCTATGTCCGGAATGAGCGGAAGATTGATGTCTATGGAAAAAGCACACAAAAGGGAAACACAAAGCTCGCCCATACCGATACCCCAACCGATTCCCGACCGATGTGACCGATAATCTTAGGATGTGACCAATACTCTTGGTAGCCCATGTGGCGTTTGGTCGCACCTTCATATTTGCAAGTGTTGTTTGAATTGCATTTATTTTTATTGAGCACGAGTAGGGTTTCGCTTGGTCGCCAACCCATCCAACTGATCATAATCATTGCTTTCAAGATAAGTCCAGTTGGCGCTCAGTTTGCACTCGGTTCAGAGGTGTGCTTGGAGTGGCACCACTTTCTCTCATGCCTGTGGGTGCGTTCAATGTTGAAGGCAAGCCAAAGGTTTTGGGTGTTGTGCCAAGTCTGCATGGTGCAAACGTCGTAGCCCACAATGGGTGGCTTCCAGCTGACAGACTGGTGGCTCCTCCAGCTGGTTGACCTTCCTCCACTTTTCGTTGTCGGCTTTGCGGGCACTGTCCATCGCATGCTTGAGCGCATTCGCGGTTTTCTCCTCCTGGCAGAAACAACTCCATTCCACGGCCCCAAGTCAGCGCTTCACGTCAAACCCGTACAGTCCTGAGCCTTGAGACTTTCCCGCAATTCAACGATCGCCGGAAGTTCCTGGCATCACATCCCCTTCCGGCACATCCCGGGCTTCCGGGCATCCGTCTCTGGCAAAAGGTCTCCGGCCTGAGGCTCTTCTTCTTCCTCCTCAGGTTCCGGCGGTGCTTCTGCTTGTCTTGCAGCCTCGGCCTCCTCCTGACCTTGGGGCAGAAAACATCTAAAGAAGCTCCAAGGCTTGGCTCCGGGCTTTTCAGGAAGTCGATAAACTCCTTGCGCTTTGCAGGCGTGTCTTTCGGCACATGGCACGCTCAGCTGTATCGACGACTCAAATGGAAAGGTGGCAAAGTGGCAACAGCTGACTCTCGGACAGCATTGGACGATTGGATGGTCCTTTCGGGTGATGAAGGAATCATCGCCCTCGCTTCCTGCCCATGCTTGGAACTCCACATCGTGTGAGTGTGACAGTGTGTTCGCAGACGTGAAGTTGCTGGGTCCTCTGAGTGCTTCCACAGAGTTCTCCAATGCCGCTACTCGCCTGCGGTGCCAAATGATGCCCTTCTTCCTGCCCTATTGCCTGCCTTCCGATCCGCTGCCATGCCGTGTCCATCTTTTGGGTGCTAATCAATGATTTCCTGCAAGGAGCGGCTTCCGACAAATCTCATCCAAGCGGATGCAAACGGGCCGAGGCGGCAGAACATCGTCAAGGTTCTCTGCCTCAAACATGTCAGGCGGCGCGCCTGGGCAAGTTCAGTCAAAGTTGCTGGCCTTTTTACAGCAGGGCACAATTGTTGGGCCTGACATTCGTCTGCCCGTCCTGGCATTCAGAGTGCACAAAAAAGGTAGTCTGCCATAGTGTGCCATTGGCAAACGTGGCCAAAATCAGGCCTTGGGGCGTCCATTTTGACGGCTGCACCATGGTTTTTCCGCTGGAGACCGGCCAACCCCGCTTGGGCCTGGTGGGACATGGAAGTTGCCCAGGCACAAACATGTTCCTGTGTCTGGCCCCCCGTCCTTGCTCACTTGACTCGCCCTCTTGCCTAGGGTCAACGTCTCTTTGTCAGCTGTGGACAAAAGCGTCTGGGGCTGCTGCGCGTTGAGCCATCGACCTCCTCGCCTTGCAAGACCATGTCACGCCACTTGTTCCACCACGGCCACCCGCAACGGAACCACACATTTGCGTCCAAGTAGATTCTCCAGCTTAAACAAGCACAGCGGACAAACCCTTTGGCATATTGCGAATCATTGACTTTAGTGCCACATTGTGTCTTTCGTAAATATTGCACTGCGCTTGTTGCAACATCTCTTCGTTCTCTTATCAGCCCGTGCTCTCCTACATTGTATTGTTTAGCGGAAGAGTTCAACGCCGTGCAGTGAGCTTCCTGGGCAGGGAAGCATCAAGAGCCGGAAAACAGACCAAGCCCCACAACTGACAGCGCCTGCAGGGGGCACCACAACTCATATCAACCAATACCAAACTAATGCCCAGCTGAGACTACAACAAAACCAAACCACTAAGACATGCCACGAGCATCGGCTTGTTTCCAGAAGCATCTCTGATGCATGAAAATACAGGGACTGGATGAGCTGCACTGACAAAGTTGTAGGCAGTGACATGTATCTGGTGGTCAAGGCTTGGCTCTTTGGATGGGCATGACTCACTCCGCTTCCGCACCAAGGTGAATGACTTGCTGGTGCTCGGTAGGGAATGAACCCAGGGATTTACTTAAGGGAAACCCACAAAAAGGTGGCTTGTAAGGGTCATTTCATTTCTCATTCCCTACCTATGGCGCCAACAAGGCTTCCGTAACATTCTGAGTCGGCATGGCCTGGAGTTCCTGGAGGCAGCTCAGGACTGGCGCCTTCTTGTGCCATTGCCTCACCAACTTTTCGCGACCTTCGCCTTCTGCCAGCAGAGGGGCTGAGCGCGGAGCCTTCCCCGTCCGACGTCTCAACCCATGGCAGCACCCCGGCACCCCATACCCTGACTAAAGGAGCCACACATGCGATGCGTTCGAGGCAGCTGGGAATTCTGCAATCAACACTGCTAAATCCGGCACAGCACAGTGGCTCGCAAGTGGGCAAAAACATCAGGACGCTCGTTCGTAAATGTGTCCGATGCAGTTCCAATGTCAGAACGCGCCTGTCAACACAAAGGCCACGTAGGCAGCCTGCCAGAAGGACCCAAAGATCCCGAAGCCCCGATTGAAGCCCACGCAAGGCAACCCTCAGGGCCTTTGTGGCCGGCGACATCTTTCGCCCAATGTTGCCAATGGCCCCGGGCATGTCATCCGGCGTCAACTGGCGTCTTTGCGGACGTCTGGAGATTTGATAAAGCTGATGCACACATGGCCGTGGGTTTGAATTGGTGACCCTTTGGTGGACGTCATTTAGGTGGGGATTCATGTCCACCAGCCACTTTCAGAACAGACCCCTATTGTACTTCATAGCTATTTGGCGCCGTGAGTTTTCTGATTAGCAAACGGATTCAACAAAATCAACGGCACTCGTGGCACTGCTCCTGTCCTGCTCCAACAGCCGAGCTTGTTCCTGCAAGCAATCCCATCTGCACCGACGCTCCAAGCTGGGCTTGATTGCTTGCAACCGTCACGAGGGCCGTCTTATGCTATCTGGCATGCCCTCTTCTTTTGTTCAAGCGCCGGTGCTCGGCTCCCAAACCGCAACCCTTGCGTGCCACGAGGTGCAGCAGATTCTTGGCTTCAGTCGCATGGCATTCGCCGTCCTTTCGCCTAGAATGAAGTTAAAACAAAAAAATATGTGTACACAAGACTTGTGGAAACACTGGTTCTACAGAGTTGACCCAGGGAAACTCCCGACACTCCGCAGGTGCTGGGGCCTCACTCAGTATCCACCTGTGCGGCAACCATTACAGCGAAATGGTCAACCCCATTTGGAGCAGTCCCAACTCAACGATGCACGTCTGGATTTGACCTGCCATGCTCGCATCAAGATCCTTCGCTGCCGAGTACACCATCCGACCGAGCTCCGTGCGTTCATCCCTGAAATACTTCTTAAGGTCCACGTCTGACAGAACTCTGTGGTCCAAAGAGGGAACCACAGTGCTCAGCTTCGCAGCTGTAACTTGGTGGAAAATCGTCTCTGCACTTCTTGAAAGCCTGCTTGAAAGGTATCTTCAGCTGAATCAAGAAGTTCAGGAGCTTGGAGCTGTGCCAGCATGGTTACCAGTAGGACTCAGTGACCACACTCATCTTCTGCAGAATTATACTGATGGAAAAGGAATATGAGGTAAAGGGATGTGAAGAGAGATGAGATAAAGGGAAATGAGACAAGATAATCACTCATCTCTCAGCATCTTGAATCATCCCTTGGCCGTTGGGATTCACTTGTCAACACCATGGTCCCTGTGTCAAAGCTGCGAGCCGACATGCTTTTCGCCGATACAAGCCTGCTGACACCCTGCGCAAGCCAGGGTCCTCTTGTACGACGGTCTCGTACAGCTCCACTTGCTGCCGAGTCGGTCGCCGTGAGGACAACACATTCCTGCGGAAAGCAACACGTTGCCAGGATTCACACGCTTGAGCTGGGGTGCACTGGGAGCATCACACATGGAATTAACTTGCCGTGAAAACTTTACATCAGCTGAGCTAAATCTGTTGGAGCAAACAGGACGATCATATCTGCGTGACGCAATGAGTCAACCTTAAGGAGGCACCACAACTACATCACAGCAAATGACAAGCAACGCAACAAAACAGCTGTACAGGAGAAATGTGTGCCCCAAGGCCGAGCAAACTGCTGGAAATCCTGCCAAGAAAGCAACACCAGATCGGTCCCGAAAACTACCTCAGCAGCATCCTCAGCAAGCTTGCCATCGCTGAGCACCTGTCATTTCAAACAAAACGTTGAAGCCAGGCATCCATATTAATATCCTGCTACTTGTGAACACAACCTTTGTGTGCCGCATCGCTCATGCGTTGGCCTCCTTGCCAATAAGACTTCAAGAGTCTCATGAGCCATGGTCAAACTTGTGCGGTTGCGGCAAAGGACGTGATCATATCATGCAGGCCCCTGCTTTTTTGTACCAAACTCTTTGATTCCCCCCCCCCCCCATGTCCCAACGGAGCATGGACTACGAGTGGCGCTTCCAGTAACCAAAGGTTGCGTGGAGCAAACGCTTTAGGTTCAGTGACTTCACCAGGCCTGTGAAACGGTCTTGTTGTCTATGGCTTCGTAGCAAGCGAGCACCTGACAAGGTCGTGTAGGGAGGCTTCATATGTTGTTTATGGTGCTACAAACACAAGGACTGCACTTGCTACAGGACTGGACTACTGAGGAAGCCACACTCAATGAGAAGAATTGGTTCGTTGCCTCTTCTTCGCTGGGTTCTGGAACCCTGGCACAAAGATCTCAGGGTGATGCAAAACAAAGCAGACAGTCGGGCTGAGCACACATATGTCAAGCTGAGAAGATCCGTCAACTGAGTAACTGCGCAGAGGGCGATATCAAATATCACCCTCTGCACATGTTGCCAATTGCACAAGAGTTGGGGTGCACACCCTGGCATGGTCTGAGCCATCAGGGAGGACACCGTGGCTTCCACCTGGAAGAACCCTGGCTGAGCCTTGCTCTTCTCGAGCATTTGAACATTCCCGCCTCCTCTGGCCGCTGTTCCAAGTGCACGCGCGTTGCGCGAACGCACCTTGGCATAGCGCGTTCACCCAGAGTCGGGGAGCCTCAAGTGCCGCTGCCGAGACGCGCGCGCAGTCATGCGCTGCCGTCGCGACTGGGCGGATAGTTCTTTGTCCACCTCAGGTCTGCACGCATCTCCATGCAGTGCCCACAAGTTGCCTGGGCTGACTTGATCTCCGCCAGCCACAACGAATGATGCCTGCCTTGCTCATGTCGCCAGCAGCCACCTGTGCTGCAGATTCTTCAATGACTGCTCTGCCAGCAAGCTGAACTCGGACTAGCCGTCGTGCATGGACGAATTCAATTAAGGGTTCTTTGGTCAATGATTGCTGACTGCTTCCAAACTATTTACTCTGAATGCGCAAAGCAAAGGCCAAAGCTACCCTCAATTGTTTCCTGGTTCCTTGACATTGCTGACATCCAATGGGGTCAGCATGGCACGAACCAAGCTGTCCATGACCGCAGGCTCTGAGGCGCATATTTTGCACATTGATTTCCAATGCGTCCCAATGCAGAAGCTGGTGAATTGTGAGACAGGTAGAATCATCCTTGAAAGACTGCCGAACCCGGCCGAACACAGCCGGTCTCAGGATGACCCCCAGCATGCGCATCGAATTTGTGGCCTTGAATAAAAAGCACAAGGCAGGCGCCGGCTGAGGCGTGGCTTGAGGTTGGGCGATACTGTAGACTCGTAGTGCTTTGAGGTCACAGCCCATGCCGGACACTGGATGCCGAGCTATCGTCGTTCTTGTGCTGTCTCGAGCACCTTGTTCTTCTCGCCTTGATCCAAGGCATACCCTGTTCAGCTCCGGCAACGGCGGGCAACACCTGGCTCCTGCAAAACGGCCGCAGCATTTCTTGAGCTTCATTAAGTGCCATGCTTGCGCTCTGCTCTCAACGCTTGCAAAGCGCCCGGTTCGCGAGGCAACGGTGGTGCCGGTGTGGTGGCATGCATGCTCCGCGGTGTCGATTCCTCAGCATGCACCAAAAGATCCTCCGCGGTTTTGGGCTTGCGCCTCCTCCTCAGATCCTGCAGCGCGCCGCCACTGTTCATACTGGTGGCGCTGCTGCCGCTGCCGGGTCTGCCGCTTTTCTGTGATTGACCAGATGGAGGCCGGTCCAAAAGAGAGCCAGCCGCGGCACGCAGAGTTGGCGAGCCAAACTTCGCGCGCTCTTTGGCACTCATTGGGGCTGCGGAGCCTTGCGGGGAGCGGCCCCGAACATCTCTCTCTTCGCATGGTTGAGCTCTCAGTCGTGCCAGGAAGGCGTCAAAGTCCTCTGGGGTCGCAGCAGCCAGTGCTGCGAAGTCATCTTTCGCCACAGGTCGCTGCGTCCCCAGCCCAGTGATCCAGCTTGTCGAAGAGGTTTGACTTGCATGAGTGCCTTGCAGCAAGTCAAGGCTATCCTGTTGCAGCGTGCCGGTGTTCGGCATCGAGGAGCGATCTCGCGGGGGATAGCCGCTGTCCAGCGTCCCAGTGTCACTGCCCAGCGACTCACCATCTGAAAGAGGCCTGCGGCGTGGCTCGCGCTTGCGAGCCACGGAGCCCGCATCCGGAGTAACGTCCACCCCAAAGTGGCGTAACACGTTGCCCCACTCTTGGGCTTCACCTTCAGCCGGTTCCAAATCTGAAGGCTTGGAAGGAACGGAGTTGAGAGTCTCAGATCCACTTTCGCCTCTTGCTTCTCGAATGGCATTCACCACACCTTCCAATAGTCGCACTGGATCGTCAGAATCTTCTGTTGAGGGCCTCATGTCCTTTGAAATACTTCCATCATACTGAGATTCACCTCGCAACGTGTTGGCATCCAGTGCTACTCCTGAAAAAGATGCTTCCGCTGCAAGATGCGCTTTCCCTGCAAAAGATGTTTGTCCATCAAGAGATCCCTCTCCAGCAAGAGATGCTTCCCTCACATCAGGTGTCTCCTCCGCAAGGGATGCTTCCCCGGTGAGAAGTGCTTTCCCTGCAAAGGCTTCTGCTGCGCCTCCCTCCATCGTCCACTTTGAGTGGCTGGCTGCCAGTTTGGGCTCGTCTAGATTTCGCCATGTGGCTCCGAAAGTGCCCCCGCAGTCTGCAATTACAAACTTCGACTCTCCGATCAGGGTGCCTTGCAAGGCAACTGTACCGCTCGTGGCTGGTTGGCTTGCTTGCGGCTTGCTTTTGACCAAATCCTCCGTCTGATCCAGCCGAGCTTCTAATTGGTCCGTGTTTTCCAGCGCCTTCCCCCAACTGTCCTCAAAAAGGGATGCATCTCCAATGCTGCCTTGCTTTGGGGCTTCTGGTTCGCTGGCAATCACCTGGGGTCCCTCTGGCTGGAGCCAAGGAACGGGAGCCACCGGCCACGCAGAGAGGTCAGACTCGCGCCTCAGGGCCGCCATGTCGGCATCTGACGGGTAGGGCTCCGTCTCAAAGCCCGGTCCACCTCCACTGGACGCTGGCTGCTCTGGGCTCTCATACTTGGAATAGAAGTCGTTCACGCGAGATCGGCTGGACATCTCCTTTGGAGTGGATGCCACCGATGGCACCATGCCGAATGGCTCCGCGTTGCCAAGCAGCATCTGCCTTTGCAGCTTCCGCTGGAGCTTCTTCACCTCCTTCTCTTTTTCCTCCACTTGTTGAGCCTTCATATTCAACAAATCCTGCTTGGCGCTCTCCTTCTCCTGACGCAAGCGGTCCGCTTCATCCTGGAGCCGGGCCAAGGCTTCTTGCTGGTGGCGATACAGCTCCTGCTGCTGGTGCATCAAACCGTGCAACATGTCGCTCACGGGCGGGCCGTGTGGGTCCTGTTGGAGCCCTTGCGGTCCTTGGGGCACGTGGTGTGCCTGGTGCATCTGGCCCGGAAACGGCTGAAAGCTTTCCGACGCATGAGCCTGAACTTCCCATGGCACAGGTGACCCAGAGGCAGAAGGAGGAAGGCCAAACAAGCCAGATCTGTTTGCCTGAGGCTGAGCTGTTTGATGCAGCTGCGGCTGGAATTGCTCAAGGGAGTTGTTGTGAGTATCCCGTGCTCGACGCCGGGGAGGCAAAGGAGCTGACGGTTCCTCCTCTTCACGTCGTGCAGCTGCTGCGCGCTCGTTATGTTCAGCTGCTGCGCGCTCGTTCTGCTGAACCAGCGCCTTCTTCTTCGCCTCATCCTCCTGGCGTCGAGCCTCTAATCTTGCCTCTTCTGCCGCTTGTTCCCGCCTGATTCGCTCATTTTCCCTCTCTTCCTCAAGACGCCTGCGCTCCTCCTGCTCCTTCTTCTGGCGCTCCTTCTCTGCGATTTGCTCTGCCAATGCGCGCTTCATGGCCTCCTGCTTCTTGCGCCGGTCATCCATGCCATTCTCTTCGCCCAAACGTCCTTGAGCCGGGCCAGGGAAAACCTGACTTGGTGCAACCTGACCTGGAGCAGCTGGGGCCGCCTGCCCCATAGGCCCCATGCCATGGTAAGCAGGCGGTGCTTGGGCTGCCGGCGATTGTGCAAATGTGCCATGTGCCTGAGCCGCGTGAACCGCTTGCGCCTCTTGCCTTTTGAGCGCTTCTGCTTCCTTCTTCTGGCGCTCCTTAGCCGCAATCTGCTCCTCCAAGGCCCGCTTCATCTCCTCTTGCTTCTTGCGTCGAGCATCCACCACCGCATCACCTGCCGCGCCCAGGTTGCCCAAGCCACCACTCGGAGGCATGGAGCCAGGTGCGGGCGCACCAGGCATGGGCATTTCACCATGGACTTCTCCGCCCGGCGCCGGATGTCCGGGGTATTGGTACGACGCGGGTCCCTGTTGCATCCAGGGCTGCATGTCGGGTTGACCATAAGGCGGGGCACCGGGCAGGTACTGCTGTTGCAGGTGTTGTGGCTGAAGATGGGGCGGCTGTTGCAAATGCTGCATGTGTTGTTGGTCATATGCCATTGGCTGCTGGACGTGCTGCATGTGTTGCTGCTGCATGTGTTGCTGCTGCATGTGTTGCTGCTGCATGTGTTGCTGCTGCATGTGTTGCTGCTGCATCTGAGGTGGTGGCTGTATGTGGGGCGGCGGTTGTATGTGGGGCTGTGGCTGCATGTGGGCGGGAGGCTGATGCATGTGCGGCATACCTGGCTGCTGCGCGTGGGGCGGCTGCTGTTGAATATGTTGCATCTGCGGTTGCTGTTGGTGGTACTGCTGCTGCTGATGCATGTGAAGTTGCTCAATTTGCAATTGTTCCATGTGTAAGTGCTGGCCATGCGCATGTGCTTGTTCTGCCCCAATTCGCCTGGATGCAACGCAAGACAGCAAGACATCTCACCCATTGTGTCCGCGCCTGCCATATTCGCCGTGTCCTGATCCGTCGGGAACGTGTCCATAAGGCTCCTGACCTAGGAATTCAAACGGAGGCATGCCGTTTGCACTCGGGCATCGAGGTGCAAACGAACTTGGCCAGGGCCAGGGTCCTCTCATCAAATCAGCCAATCACCAACACACTTTGCTCGAGCGACCAAAAATGCAGGCGGTCCTGCGCATGACTTGCATCGGCCTGCGGGGCTAGCACGGGCGCGCCCGCAAACGGCGGATCCACTTTGTTGGACCAGCTGATAACTCATGAAACAACTGACGAGTCACATGACACTTGAATGGAACATCGGCGACTAGGAACAAACAACAAAGTGCCAGCTGACAAGAAAGCGGTACCGCAAATTAGGAATGGAGACTCCTTAAACCATCATGATTGATACATGCCGGTAGCACGCGTTGAGAAATTTGTTGCCTTCGCAGGAGATAACAAGGTACACCGCCCATAGTAGCCCGTGTAGTATCGTGCGTTCTTTGGCTTCGGAGCAACCTGTCGAAGCTGCGATTACAGGGGGACAAGGAGAGCCCCGTCTGTCCCTCATGCAAAATGCGCCGAGACAGTGGGGAATTTCTTGCGTTCCCGAATCTCACTGGCACGCTGCTTTCAGAAGCTCATTTTTCCAGCCCCCAACTATCGTGTGTCAAGGATTTTGTCCCTCATGTAAAATGGCCGAGACAGTGGGGAATGTCTTGCGTTCCCGAAACCCACTGGCACGCTCATTTTTCCAGCCCCCAACTATCGTGTGTCAAGGATTTGCCATGTTCAAGACTGCATGTTGCCTGGGAACCGCATGATGAACTCTCTTTCCAATTGCCGACGGGGGGGAGGGGTCCTTAGTCTGTTCTTCACCCAGAATTCCCAAAAAATAGTTGTCGGTTTTTCGGTTGCAGGCAACACACTGGCATGTTCAAGACTGCATGTTGCCT